GGTACAGAAATGACGAGCGTTTAGCCACGATCACCAAAGGTGGGCGATCAGAGACTTTTATATAACAATCAAAAGAGATAAAAGTTCGAGAAAACATTCAAAACTCAGAATTAGAAAGGGCCGCGCAAACGCTGGCCCTACTGTCACAAATTATGACGTAGGCTCGACCACTTGGACCGACCTTAGACAGGCACCCCTCCTATGTGCAATGGAGGTCACCAATCTAGACCATGAGCCTTTTTGATCACTCATTGATCCTGTCCAGGTAAGTATGTTTAACGTTCTACAACCACTTTCTTAAATAGGTTTAGACATGGCTACATGTTTCATTTTATTTTCAATGTGGGATGACACCCTAACGATCTAACCATAAATAACCATCCTACTTCTCATGCCAAGACTTTTGTCGGGATTGGTTTTGGTGTCGTTTACTCGTTTTTCATCCGGTGAGACCACGCCTTATTGCTTCATTTTGTTTTTAAGTATATATAATATTTATAAACGATAAAAAAATTCCATATTAGTCATCATGGTAATGATCATAGCATTTAACGAGCTACTCAAGCTCGAGCTTTAGCAATTCCAAAGTTGGACTCAATCTCGAAGATAACATGCATTTAACTCGGCAAGTTAAGCTTTTTAACACTAACGTTCAACTTGACAATCATAAGTTTGATTAATTTTTCTCCAACGAGCCAAATATTTTATATATTTTTGTAAATCGTTATAGCTTATAAAGTTTGAATAAAATTATAATTAATAACTCAAAAATTTTAAGCTCTTCAACTGCATAATGTATATTTAAAACTACAAACCGTAGAGGGCATTCAAATAAATGAAGACCTCTCCAAAAATAGGCGTATGCAGGTCGACCCTATGGGTGGGCAGCCCGGGCATCCCAAGCCCAAGGGCATCAAATAGTCACTATTCCTCTTTTTCTTTTTTCATTTCTGATTAATTTTTAAAGTTCATTTTTGTCGTGCTTTTACAACAATAAATATTTTTTTGAAATAAAATTAATAGCACCATTAATATTTATATAACTTATTATTTAAAGAAGACCCTATAATAATATTTGAAAACTTATTATTTTTGTTATTTGTATAATTTCGTCAAACATGTTTATTCGAGAAATTGGGTGTGGATTTGGTGTTTGATAAAGGGTATCTCATCATCATCAAAATCCCATTTTTATTTCAATTTTAACACAATTTCACTACAATTCTACACCAACTGTTGTTGGTGAAATGTACAATAATATTGGTATTTAATATTTATGCAAATTTGATGTCTATATAATTTTTAATATATTTGATCACAAATGTTATTTTAGTTATAGTATTTATTAATATTATATTATAAATTATATTTATATTAGTTCATATATGATATATGTATAAATAATAAAACATAAAAAATGACACACACACACACACACATATATATAAATATTATGATTCAAGAAAAAAAAAATACATAACCTAAGATGAAATTTGACTAACACATAGTAGAACTTTAATTATCTATATATCGTTTGTTCAAATATGTTATAAAATTACCAGAAGGGTAGTCACACAATACAGCGAGATATATCTTGATTTTAATATTCCATTATATTTTTTTATCTCAGTCGATGTTATAGTATGGTCTTATGTGATTTTGAAAAAGCGATAACGTTTTTATTTTTGAATAAAATATAAACTTGAAGATATCATAAAAATTTAACAAAAATATATCGAGATTAGTATCAAATTAACTATTTAAAATTCCTATTTTTTGTGTAATTTTTCAATTCAATTTTTTTATTATAATTTAATTTAAGTTCAATAACGAAGTAATTTATATTTGGTTTAGTAATATAATTTTCTTATAAAGATAATAGTTAATTATTTTTTTAGAACTCAATATATAATTATCTTAATTATATTTTAAAATGAGATGTTTATCTTCTATTTGATTATGTTTATCCACAATTAATTATATGAATCCAAACATGGAGCTTTAATAAGTTGTACTTATGCATAATTTAATTGTAATTTTGAATTTTAAGTAATATGCATCAATATACAGTACTTTATACATAAAAAATAGTTTTTAAAATTTTTTGTCAAATACTTTATAATATAGTATATATTATAACCAAATTTATGTGTAGAATTTGCATAACTTATCTCATATTTTACTTGTTTTAATTAACTAATTTTATCTTCCATTTTACAACAAATATTTTGATGTTTGAGTTCTTGTCCATCATCATAACTACAAATAAATTGATGTTATTTATAGTTGAGGATATCAGCCCTAATTGAAGACTCGATACTCTCAACCAAGCTACAATCGAGCAGTCTATCGGAAGGCTCCCCCAAGCCGAACCCATTAGATTCTTTTCTCTCGGCTTTAATACTCATGTTGCGAAATTTATGTATTCCACTACTGCGTTTGATTCTTAGAACGCTTTATTATGACATTATAAAAGGTTAATAATAATATTTATTTTTGTGTCTTAGTTGTCCATCATTCAAATAGCTTCTTATATAATAAGAATGTAACTTGTTATATTATCCAACTTCATCGCGGCAATTTACTGTAACAAATATATACTATATTATAAAGCATTTGACAAAAACTCTTAAAAACCACTTTTTATGTGTAAAGTACTGTTTATTAATGTATATTATTTAAAACTCAAGATTATAAGTAGACTGCACGTAAGTACAACTTATTAAAGTTCCATACTTGAAACCGTGTAACTAACTACAGATAAATATAATCAAATACAAGATAAACATCTTATTTTAAATATAAAAAATCTAAAATATAATTAGGATAATCATTGAGTTCTAACAAAATACTTAATTATTATCTTTATAAAATGTTATATTATTAAACCAAAAATAATTTTTTTCATTGTTAAACTTAAATTAAATTATAATAAAAAAATAAATTAAAGAAATTACATAAAAAATGAGAACTTTTAAATAGTTGATTTGATATTAACATTGATATATATTTTCAAATTTTTATGATATCTTCAAATTTATATTTTATTCAAAAATAAAATTATTAATGCTTTCTTAAAAACACATAAAATCGTATTATAATATCGACAGAGACAAATAATATAATAGAACATTAAAATCGAGATGTGTCTCGCTGCATTGTGCAAGTACTCTTCTAGTTTATATAAGATAGTAGTTGTTATTCATATAAATTTTTTAAATATTTAATAATATCATCATTAAGTTTTTTATTACGACGGTTGTGAATGTTTTATCATACCAATTTCTTTTGGTGGTTATTTGTCTATTATACATAAGTTTGTTAAGAACATCTCCAACAAATTCTTTAAATCAAAGAAAAATAAAGATTTCTTTCTCCATTTTTTCCGACATAATTTCTATATGTTCTCTAAAATAAAGAAAACAAGATAAATAAATCTATCTTGTAAGGTTAGAAACCTAATTAAGACCCAATTCACACTACAATAAAATCGGGTTTATAAGACATTTTCAAATTCTAAGTGTCATAATAGACCTCTTTATAGGACTTAGTTTATAAGACCCAAAAAATAAAGTGTCATATCTAAAAGCGTTGTAATAAGTTTATATGACTTTTTTTAACATTGTAATAAATTTTTTAGGACACTTTTAATATGAAGCGTCCTATTAGCAACTTTATAAGACACTATTTGAAAATTGTCCCATAAAAACAAATGTCCTATGAAAAATTGAGTTTACATGACACTTTCTGAAAAGTGTCCTATAAAGTTGTTAATGCGACACTTTATATTAAAAATGTTCTTAAAAACTTGTTAAGACGTCCAAAAATATGATATAAACTTATTACAACACTTTTAGATAGAACATTTTATATTTTGGTCATATAAAGCGGTCTATTGGGACGCTTAGAGATTGGGGGCGTCCTATAAACCCAATTTTGTTGTAGTGTTTGATAAACGGCCCTAAGAGGGCGTTTGGTTTGATAGAATGGTTTTGAGGAATTTGGATTCCGTGGAAGGATTTGAGATCTTTGGTTTGTTTCGTTTGTATGATTTGGAATAGAATTGAATTTCATTCTCTATAAATAATCTATAAAAATAATTAAATTACATTTCTATTAATCGATTATTACAAAACGAATGTTTTTAACATATTTTAAAACATTATTACATACAAATCCTACGAATTCTCGTGAAACACCAACCGTTCCTGTGGGATTTCAAAATCCTATGTTTGTTAGATTTCAGATCCTTCAAACCAAACATGAGATCACTACAACAAAATTGGGTTTATAGGACACCCCCAATCTCTAAGTGTCCCAATAGATCGTTTTATAAGACTTGGTTTATAAGAACAAAATATAAAGCGTCCTATCCAAAGGCGTTGTAATAAGTTTATATGACGCTTTTGGACATCTTAACAAGTTTTTGAGGACATTTTTAATACAAAGTGTCGCATTAGCAACTTTATAAGACATTTTTGAGAAATTGTCCTATAAAATCAATTTTTTATGCGACACTTGTTTTTATAGGACAATTTTTCAAATAGTGTCCTATAAAGTTGATAATGGGACGTTTTATATTATAAGTGTCCTAAAAAACTTATTACGACATCAAAAAACGTCATATAAACTTAATACAACACTTTTAGATATGACACTTTATTTTTTTGGTCATATAAACTAAGTTCTATAAAGAGGTCTATTAGAACGCTTAGAATTTTGTAGTGTCTTATAAACCCGATTTTGTTGTAGTGGATTGAAATGAGATTCAATTCCAAATCCTTCTAAATCAAATTCAATCCTCTAAACCAAACGAATAATCGTATTACAATATATAAATTACCAGCAAAACATTGAGTTATGAAATCTTTCTAAATAAATTATACATAAACTCATAACTTATCAAATAAGTTATAAATAAATAATATTAGAAACTATATAATAAAATGTCCATTTGATCTTATAAAAGTCAACTTTTCTTGGTACAAATAGATGAAGTCATTAGGCACCATTTGATTGTTCTTGTGCATCAAGGGTTGACTTCCATGGATGCCACCAAGAGGTTGGATCCTATTTTCAGATCTAGTTTTATCTTTTGTGTTTTTTTCGATTTTGATATTTGATTGTTTGTGTTTTTACTGTTTAATTGTTAGCGTCAGCGATGTGGTCACTGTAGATGTACACGAAGCTAAAGATCTCCTAAACTCCGGTCATCGTTATCTTGATGTCAGGTCAGTAAAAGAAGATCTGAATTTATAATCATTCCTAAACGAGTTAAATTTTACATGTTGAAAAAATCCGTTATGTATCTGACGCGTGTGTGTGCATACTTTCTTTGTATGTGTGTGGTTGACTATATGTACACCGATAAACGTCGAGATTAACTTCATCTTATTAACCTCGGCTTCCAAACTGTATTAATTGTACATGTGTTTTTACGTCGGATTTTCCATACCAAATTTGATCAAAGGTACCTCTTTTGTAGCGTTATTTCAAGGTTAAAATTTTGGAGACACGGTCAACACAAGGGTCTACACACAAGCACTCTCGAGTCTCTGAAAACAATCAATACGATAGTAAGCGGTTGAAGCAACCATACCCCGCTAAAGTAAACAATTTATGAAATAAAATTCATTTGGACACTACGCGTAACCTGAAAATACTATTGGGCTACTGATATTTTTAGTTAGGTGAAACTATTTCACGGTTATAATTCATCAAAAGATGCATATAAATCTACGATCGATTATATATAGAGGTAGGTTCATACGGGGATGAGACCTAAATAAAAAAATTAAGAAAATGACCAAATTACGTAAAAATCGCATGTGATTTTACATTAACGGTTAAAAAAAGTGTGGGGGCGAATTTCCCCTATGACCTCGCATGAATCACATGTGATTTTATAGGTGATTTTAGTGTAAAATCACATTTGAATCGACTATTTTATATTTTCTTTTTAGATATCATTTTCGTATAAATAAACATGTGTTTTGTTTATTAAAAACATAATATACGAACGGTTGGAACTTTATTGTAACAATTTTAAAAGGAACTGTTTGTCGGTTGCTGAATGGTTTGGTGTAGAATGATTAAGTGGCTAGAATGATTAAGAGGCTCTCATGATATGATGCAAAATGAAATATAATTGTTTGACAATCGTTTATAATGAAATTAGGGTGCTAAATGGTTAAGGGATGCCCACAATACAAAATCATTTAAAAGGTTTTAGAACCATTAAAAGACAGACTTTTTTTTTTGTCAAACAAGATTGACCTCTTAACAATTCAGATGATACCTTTTAATGAAATTATTAAAAGGTAAACAAACAACCTGTAAAAATTGAAATCAACAAATTAAAAAAAAGTGTATTTTCTTGGATATAATATTTTTATTTTTGTTTTATATTAAAATTGAAAAATAACAGGACAAATGAAGAATTCAACAAGAGCCACGTGGACAACGCCTTGAATATTCCCTACATGTTCATAACACAAGAAGGTTAGGATTACATGTGTTTTATCTTATTATTTTAATCAAATATTTTGATACAGTTGCATCTTTCATAAACTTAAAAAAATTTAGTTTATGATGAAAAAATAATATGGGTCCGTCCCTATGTAGGGTCATCATTCTTACTTTTCTTATTAGGTAACATCTTTTGGTAAACAAAATGACTTAGGGGCTGTTTGACAATTGTAGAATGGTTTGTTACAGAATGATTAAGTGATCAGAATGATTAAGAGACTCTCATGATATAATGCAAAATGAAATATAATTGTTTGGTAATTGTGTACAATGAAATCAGGGCTCTTAATGGTTAAGGGAGATCCAGGATACAAAATTATTCAGAGGGTTTTAGAACCATTAAGAGAAAGATATTTCTTTGCCAAATAATATTCATCTCTTAACGATTCAGATGTTGCCTCTTAATAGAACTATTAAGAGGTAAACAAACAACCTCTTAGTAAGATTATTGGCAGGCGTGTCTTAGGGGCTGTTTGGCAATTGCTGAATGATTTGGTGCAGAATGATTAAGAGGCTCTCATGATATAGTGCAAAATAAAATATAATTGTTTGGTAATTGTGTACAATGAAATCAGGGCTCTTAATGGTTAAGGGAGTTTCAGGATACAAAATCATTCAGAAGGTTTTTGAACCATTAAGAGGCAAACTTTTTTTTTTGCCAAACAAGATTCACCTCTTAACCATTCAGAGGTTGCATCTTAATGGAACTATTAAGAGGTAAACTAACAACCTCTTACCCGGTAAACACTAATCGGGTAAGGTAAATGACCCATAAGCATTTATCTGGTTAGCTTTAGATAAACGACTTGCAGATAATGTAAAACACTGATTTTATATAAACCGGATAAAATTTAGATTTTTAAATTGATGAGGTTTTTTTTCATATATATATATATATATATATATATATATATATATAGGACGGGTTAAAAATCCCGAATTTTTGGCTCAGGTTTCCGTTCTTTGTGGCAAGGAGGATTTACTAGTCGTGGTACGTACTCTCCTTTCTACAGTAACTAGTATTCATTTCGTTTCAAATTAATACAACATTTTATTTTTAAACTGATAATATCATATCAGTTTCATTTACTTAAAAAAAATTAAAAATTTATTTACTTTGTGTTTCGTATTTTAAAGGGTTGCAACAGTGGAGGAAGATCGCTTAAAGCTTCTGCTGATCTTCTTACTGCGGTATGTTACGTATTTTAATTTTTTTTCTCAATTTTCGGTCTCCTTTCTATCCTTTTTAGGTATTGGAATCGATCGTATTGAGTCATGATTGTATGGGTTATATATGTAGGGCTACAAGAATGTAAAGAACATGGCCGGGGGATACTCAGCGTGGGTCGATAATGGGTTTGTCGGGAACTCGGCACCGGCCGAGGAGTTGAAAACCGCTTGCAAGTTTCGCCGCTAATTAATCCTAAACTTGACGCATTCGTTTCGTTTATTTTACTAAAAAGACTTGAGGAACCATATATGTATGATATGGGTGACACAGTAATTTATTTATCAAGTGAATATGAATAAATAATGTTTATCGCTTACCTGGAAAGTGTTTGCTTTGCTGGTAAAAAGATACTAATACACCCTCACTAATTTTTACCGGGTAAGAGTCCACCAAAATGATATCATATGTAACAATTTATCTGGTTAATGTTAACCAGGTAAGCGTCTTCACTATCACTTATAGGGTTGCACATGGGTTGGACTGGTCAGGTTTGAAGGTATTTGAACAATCCAACCCAATGTCTGCGGTTTAAAAAATCTCAACCCAACCCAAGCGAACCCAAACCATGCGGGTTGGTTGGACTGGTCGGGTTGAAACTTTGTTATATCATTTTACAATCTAGCTAATTGATTGTATTTATCGTAGTAAAATCAAAATGCTAACATACAAAAAAGACTAACAAACTTAGAAAAGAAAGTTGAAGGTTCATGCAAATAAGAAAGTAAATTACGGTTGATGTTGTAATATAATTTTGAATATAGCTAATTATGAATTGGTTTAATCTCTAATGTAATGAGCACGAAGCGAACTATTCTTTCGCCTTTAGTCTTAAATACTCAAATTGTTAAACGCCCGTGCTAGTCTTCGAGAACACTACGATTTTTGAACTATTGTATTACAACGACAGAACTGGGATATTTAAGACGTTATCTTACTATATTTAGGATAAAAATCACCATAACCAAGTCCCGTCACATGTTATGTAGTACGTGCACGTGAGAAGCAGGATTGGTTATGTATGGCTAAATCGTAAAGGGTGTCATCCAACATTGGTGATGAAATGAAATATGCAACCATGTCTAAATCTATTTTAAGAAGGTTGTTGTACAACATTAGACATACTTACCTGGACGGGGTCAATAAGCAATCAACAAGGCTCATGGTCTAGGTTGGTGACCTCCATTGCACTTTGGAGGGATGCCTGCCTAAGGTCGACCCAAGTGGTTGATCCTACGTCATAATTTGTGATATTGGAGCCTGCGTTCGCGCGGCCCTTACCAAATTTCAAGTCTTCTAATTTTTTCAAACTTTTAGGGTTTTTATTTCAATTAGAATTTTGATGATTCATTTTCTTTGTTTACTGTTTATGAGTGTTAATCATGTGATCACAGTAGATGTAGCACACATAAATACTCTCGAGTCAACACATTTATTTTGTTTTAATATATCATTACAAATTGTCGTAATTTTTTTTATTAACCTGGATATCCAACCCGCTATGCGAGCCGACTAATCCCAGGGCGACCACTTGCTTTGTAGATAGCCCGGAGTCATCGCATTTGAACCTCTGTGGCCACAAGGGGATTTTTCCTCTTTGGATTTGAACCTAAGACTTCCAGGTACTTTTGACCTTTGGAACCAAACTCAAACCAATCAGGCACCACCCTTATGGTTAATCGTCATAAATTTTGATAATATTAGTTTGAAAAAAGTATTTATAGTAATAACAATTTTCGATATTTAATAATACTAAACACTTTTTATTGTGTTTGTATTTTCTAGGCTTTTTACTACAAAATCACATGACCCAAAATCATACATCTTATTATATCATATCAATGAAATTAAGATATATCAGATTTAAAATTTATTTTAAATTTGTTTAATTCATGTCCACTTCCTCTCTCTGTGTTTATATGTATTCATATCTCTTTGATTATATGTATTCATATGATTGGTAAATATAAATGGAATGTGAAAAACTGGGAGGAAAGGGGTTGACAAACTACACTGTAATTTGTGGACTTGTAACCAGTGACTGCCATCAAAATACATTTAATTAACAACATGATGATGCAAAATTCATCCCATATTAGTAACACATCAGACATCAAATTATACTTGTACATACCTAAACTTTATAAAAAGAGACCATAGAGGTCTGTTGTTAATTAAAGAAGCTGTATCAAGTGTCAACAACAGGATGCTATTTCTGTTTATTAGGCTACAACCACCGAAATGACGAGTCATAATGCGTAGATGCATGGTTCTACAGCTGAGCAGAAAATTGATCGAGTGGGGGCACTTGGAACGCGAAATCGGGTGGCAGAGTCATTAGTGCCTCATCTCCGCTCAGTTTCTGGAAGGCCATTCCAAGGGCATATCCCAAGGTTTTCGAAACAAAAACAGCCACAGCATTTCCCACCTGACAGTATCTGCAAAATTTCAAAAAAAGAGTTCAGTTCTCGTTTAGAACGGGAGTCAAAATAGGTAAACCATGCACACAAACCGAACTCTTGTGCAAGACATCGTCATGATTGAGGATATTTTGACGTGCTTTATCAGTTTTTACTAGTACAAAGTAGAATCCCATCTTTTGGAAGTAGAGAATGCATGGTTTCGTCCTCCAAGAATTTATTTATTTATGTTTTCAGTATGAAGGCGTATGATATATTAATTTGGGTAGACGTCTAAGATTCTAGAAGAGCAAATTGCATTACATGGCAACATCCTTTGATTCGATTCCATTTTTATGTAATGTACTTTCAAAGCCTTCATTTTGGTACCTCAAATGCGACATCTCGAACACTTAGGTACCTAGTTTATTTACAAGAATGCAACATACTTCGGTAAAACCAAACGAGCCTAGTATGTCCCACTTGGGATGGGGTCTGAAAGAAGGTAAGATGTAAGCATACCTGATCTCTACCCCAAAGGGTAGAGCGGCTGTTTCTGTGAAGAAACAGAAATAATAATAAAAAAAGCAAAAAAAGGGAAGAAAAATAAGACAGACTAGTTTAGACTTATAGAGTACAAAATAATAATAATAAAAGCAAGTACAAGAGAAACATAAACAAGTGAAGGAAAATTACACCCCTAGTCCAAACCACTGTCCTTAACTCCCACCGTCTACTTCACCAATACCTTCCCCCGACTAGCCACAAACCCCTGGCTCCTACCACGCCACCCAAGTCCTTTGTCTCCAATAGCTCCGACTCCTATTTTGTCCAACATACTTTGGTCTAAAGGTTTTGAGATATCACATATGAGGTGTACCAAAATGAAGGTTTTAAAAGTACGCTACACAAAATAAAAATTAAACCAAAGTATGTTGCATTTTCATAAAATTTGCCCATTCTAGAAATGCGAATGCAAAGAATTGATGACGTTTTCCTTCTTGTGCCTAGGATGTACATTTATATACGTCCATCAACACAAAAATGTTATGAGCTGGGGGTGTTTAAAATCTATCAAATTATAATAAAAGTTGAAACTGAATTATAATTGTTATCAGTCATATGTAGCTTCCATACCTTTCTTTAACAGTGCCACAAAATCTATAATGATCAGGAAAGCCCTGCAATCTTGCATACTCTCGTATCGTAAGAACTCTGTCCTGCTCTGGATGTATTGCTCTCTGTATCATCTTATATTAGTTTAATAACTAAATCAAAGTATGTGTTTCAGATATTTCTGTATTTACATATAAAATCACAGACACTACCTGGCTGTGAAGATTTGGGAACGTTACAACAGTTGGCACGTTTTCATCCCACCATATCCTTGAAAATGGCCTGTCAACGTATCCAAACTTCAGGATGTTGAAAAATATAGAAAATGTAATTCACAAAGTAGCCTAAGAGAGTGTCAAACCTTTTAGATTTTCCTTTTTCAAAAGTGAACACATAATCTGGCACCTACATCCAAACAAGAATATAAAAGATTTGTAAGTCGAATCAATTCAGTTCTTGTCAGGAATAGGTATATGCATCACCACATACAATTAGGAGTTAAGAACATTTTTCCCCTTGATCAGCAGTTCTTGCAGAAAATTTGGTTAGCAATGGCTTGAATTGTACTTTAAGATATGCACTTCGGATGTGGTACCAATGACCACCCAAAACACATCTAAAAGCACAATTTTCAGGACTTCTAACAAAACTTTGTTCAGGGATTTTCTAATTAGTTTATATGTTCTAATGTGTTGTCATATCTTAGAAGAGTTTAATCAATAATTTGTTGTCAATATGATTATGTTAAAAGAAGAAAAGCAAAAGTTCACAATATTTTGTAGAATGAAATGTAAGAGGACATCAAGATGATACTAAAATCGGGTGCTTAGTGAAAACAGAGGACAAACACTTTAGGGAAATTTATTGTAGCTTTTGATTAACTTCATGGCTAAAAATGCTTCCATTCTCATGCACATATGTTCCATGTTAGCTCGGTGCTTTCTTATCAAGTTATCATATGTCAACATTTTGCGATAGCTTGCAGAACCATGTAAAGGCAAGCTAAAACATATATATTCCTTATGTAAGGGCAGGATCATTTGGGTACCATAAATATTTTGAAACCATGGATATTTATGTACATTCATTATGAAAATTTCGTTCCTCGGTTCTCAAAATATTTACGGTTCCTAAATGAACTTTCCTGTGTGATACATATATATGGAACATTAGTATTTCATTCAAAAACCAGACCTAGAAAAAGAAAACCCTCTTGTACGATAAAAAATATTTTTATGAAAGGAAAAGCAATACGAGTGAAATGTCCTACATGACTAGCATGTGAATAGTACTTAATGGATGAACTAATGTGTGGGTGAGGGACAAAGGCGCTATGATATAATTTCAAATTTTGAGTGAAAATTTTCATAGTTTCACGAAATAAATTTTGTAAATTACTCTTAAAATATACATCACCAAATGAGATGAGAGAAATGGAGGCACAGAGCAACGACAATCGTGAAATGATCTATCCGTTTTCTCTGCATCACTTTATCTCTTATCAACACTTCCCATAAGCACACGAAATGCTAGTCACTTTCTTGATCTCTTAACAATAGAAAGTGTTAATAAGAGATATAGAGAAGACGAAGAGATCATTTCACGATTGCCGCTGGTCCAAGCCTCTATTTCTCTCACCTGGCGATATATTTTTTAAGAGTAAATTACAAATTTTATTTTGGGATACATTGAAAATTGTCCCTCGAATTTTGAAATAATATCATAGCCCTATTGTCCCTGATCCAGGTGTTAAGTACATCTATTAAGTGCACCTCACGTTCTAGTCATGCAAGGACATTTCGTTATTAGTCTTTTCTTTTGTAAAAATATTTTTTATCATACACGAGGTTTGATTATGATAAATATACATTTGGTGTAGAAACTTATTATCGTGAACGATATGTCGTTAGTGATAAAAGAATACGTTTTCCATTTCAAGTATCTATACAGAGCAAGTGAGATGACATCAATTCCTTGTTGAAAAGAAGGTAGATGGAAGATGAGAATAAGAGAAAAATAAACTGCTTACCAATGGCCTTCCGGATGGAAGCAACACCGGTTCCTTTGTTGGATCTCGGCGAACCAAATTATCAGCACCCACAACTAATCCAGGGAAGTCTCTGAAATTTGCTCCCTATAAAGCTTTTAAAAGGTTAGGAACCAGAAGAACGCCAAAACAATAACAACTAGACCATGCAACAACTGGTTAACCTTTCTGCGTGGTACATGACACACTCGATGAAAATCATCTTCTGACAATTTGTAAGGTCGATGATCTGTAAGAACAGAGCTTCTCCAGTCTGTAACCCCTTTTAGGGTAGAACCATTAATTTCTACAGGAAGGACAAGATTATATTAGTCGAAGATCAGTCTATTAAGTTAGTCTCTACTTATAAATGTAACTTTCAGCATATTTGTGGACAAACACATTTATCTACCTCAAGGGTTCGACTTATAAGTTCCGCATCATGTTAGAAATTTTCATTTTTCTGAGAAGGTGAGAAAATGTGAAGTACTGTTTGAAGATGGTTTAACCCCTTTGGATCATGTGAGAAATTTTCATTTTCATTCTTCTCCAGTCTGTAACCCCTTTATATTGTGTGAAGATTACCTCCACACGACCTGTAATTTGTGCATTTTAAGGTTACATTATAAATTTATATTGTTCGAAGATTGTAGCCTTCACACAATATAAGGTTTTATTAACAGGTCTCACGATAAGGTTATACATTTCTCACCTTCTCACGAAAATGGATTGAACTCACCGGAACACAACTCTTACATAGAATGCTAGATGTTAAAAGAAACAGAGTTGAGATGTCACAGTCTCACTATGTCTGTACATGTCAAATAAAGGCCCAACATGAACTTCAATAAGCACCCTTGTTGCTGATTGCAAAACATCAACCATTGCATGGTTTCGGATATTTATTTAAAGATATGAATCAATTACAAAAAAATATGTTTAGACTACATATCAACAGACAAGTATAGTCACTTGACCCTCGATTTAGCAATCCGGGTCCCAGAACTCAGTTGTGCCATACATTTGGTCCTCCGCTAACATAACCATTTTAATTGGTCTGTCAAATATGGCATGTGCATGGCATATGATATTTAAATACAAAGGCACAAGTATTGATTAACCAAATAAAAATAAACCCATTTCCCCGACTCTTGCACTATTCACAGACACATGTACATACCATTTACAACTCTTTGCGTTCTACAATTGCAAGTAGATGGTGACTACAAAGATGTGCTCTAACTGTTTGATAATATGCTTAATATCAGTGTAAATGCATTTGCTTAATAATTGATTAAATTCTAATGTGATAATTTTTTCCATTAAAATGGATATTTTTGTCCTTATTTAAATGGCAAGTGCTCTTCACATGCCAGATTTAACTGGATAATTTTGACAATTCTGTTACCGATTACCAACTGTGCTGGTTAATTTGGTTTTTTAAATAACCAAAAGTGCATAATTGTAAGTCAAGTGACAAAACTTGTTCTTAAATATATAATCCAGGATGATTTTTGTAATTTACTCGAAAGAAACAAATGTTTCTTGAAAGAGGAAAGCAAATACATGCCAGGATAACAGTACGGCATCAGAAATTAAGGGGAGAAGGGGGGAAATAAGGAATATACGTATACACACACATAAGGAAAATGAAATCGGATGAAAAATAAGAACTTCATATTCAAACTGTAATGGACCTAAACGGTTTTGTGAAGATAATCACTGGTTTGAACAAATGAGGTATTAGCCTTACCATCTTTTGTTAATCTTATATACTTCTGAAACTCTGTTTCTGGAGGCATGTCATATGCCATCTCTTCACGATCCTCATGGCTTGTAACCTGCATATTAAATTACATATCATTATGCAAGGTTAAGTAAAAGCAAAAGATAACCAAAGTATCATCTAGGAGAATACAGCTGGAAGATCAGAGATGGCATCACGAAGAACAGTGGCTTCTTTAAGTTCTCTAGGTTGCCCTTCATCATAAGCAACTGTATTTTGCTGCATTACAAGAATTCTACCATTAGAAGACACAAACACATATGGCTAACATTGACATATTTGAATCAAATAAAATAACAAATACCTCAAACTCAGCTGAAGGGAAGTATCTGACAATAACTTCATGTGTGGGAAGTGGAAATTGAGGTAGCGTCTGCAAACAATGATTTTTCATCATACAACTCATGCAACGTGGAGGAAAATACAATCAGCTCCCACTCATCCAGAAAAAAAATGGTCAATCAAAGAACCTTGAATTTCATTTACAAACAATGGATGTATAGAAATGCAATATCGTCTAAAAAGTAAAAGTAAGAGTTAGTTACTTTTATGTTTGTTCTCTTGACCATCATTATGCAGGCACAATTTATATCACATAGTAAATCAAGTCATAATTTACCACACCAACTAAAATGTGCTTGATGAAGTAATTGAAACGACAAGGACAAGTTAATTATTAATCTATATCTCCTCATTGAAAATCAAGTTTTTCAACAATGATTTGAAAAAACGGTCATAATACTATATATAGTAACCATGTCTAAAATATAGGCAAAAGAAAAGCGTATACAAGTTACCTCACTTGAAAGAGCACCCCATAGAAAAACACGTAACCTAAATTGTGGAAGACCATATGAGCCTGCAGCCATAATCCCCAGTCTTGATTGGTAATTCATATGAACCAAACGACTTATAGCATATCTTCCAAGCGAAGCTTTGTCATATCTTAAGATGTCAGCGACATTTTCCATCAATGCATACTTAGGCTTTAAGAAGTTCACAATGTCAAAGAAGACAATTATTTGCTGATTCCTTTCATCAGTCAATGGATCATCAGTGTTTCTGAATCGATTATAGCCACTGATCCCTTGGCATGGAGGGCCACCACAGATAACATCTACTTCACCCTGAAATATAGATCTTTTTTACCATATGCTTTTTATGAGGATAAGATATTACTGCCAAATTTAGTAACATGACTTACTGGGCGTGGCAATATCTTGGACATGTATCCACTTCTAACAAAATCTTTTATGTGGCCTTGGCAATCACTGTGGCAGGTAAAATATGAGCAAGTCAACGCACAAATAGTTGCAATATGAACTTTATTATTAATAGATACGCAACAATAAACCTCAAGTCTTGAATTAGCTCCCACGTATCTTCACTTGGACTGTAGCCCTTCCATCGCACCTAATGGAAAAGCTAGGAGTATGAGACATCTTCATAAGGCAACTGAACAAAGATTTTATGAAGAAATAATGACTAGAAGGCTGCCAGGACAACAAGAGTGAGAGCACACGACAGTGATCGTCTTTGCAATACATCATTGTGTCTCACAAAGTCTGTCTTATCTACACTCCCTCATAAACCAGATTTATCAAATGTCTTAAAAACAATTTTTAATGCACAAAGTACTATACATTTATGCACAAAGTCTTAAAAACAACTCATAATGCATTAAGTACTATTACTTTATGCATTCAGTCTCAAAATCTCTTAATCTACAATTAAAATAGCATATAGTACAAGTTACCAATGCACATTATTGCCTTTTCTTTTCATGTTCCCAAGATACTTTTGACACATTTCAGTTTCACTCATGCATTCACCCTCTCATACCCCTATGTCTTCTCCACACCCCCCAAGGTGAGATTCAAACTGATATTCACCATGAGTTATTAAAAGTTCTCCCATTCAATTGCTCTAGAACTCTCGGTCTCGCTCTCGATCTCTTAATTCTTTGCTCTTGGTGTAAATAGAACACATTTGTGGAGTCGTTTAAATATGTTGGATTTAAAATATATTGGATTTTAAACTGTCATACAATTTTTTTCATCGATAGACTATAATTGGAACCATAACTTTTATTTATTCAAATTGTATTAATATGTAAAGACCAAGTGTAACTTATATCTTCGTTAAATCTTCTCTAATAAAACCAGTGTAACTTCAAAATAGTTAAAATTCACGGCTCCCGCCGCATTGTGCGGGTACACAACTAGTCAGAACATAAATTTCTTCTGTAAGAGCAACAACATTACCATAACAGAGATATAAGATGTTCGATGAAAATGCTTTGTCTATATTGTGTGTATCCAAGGCATAGCATGAGTTCCTAATGGAATGATGAACTAAGTTTCCCTTGTAATAATATTATGGACTACTGAATCATATGCTTTTGTGTGCTATTAATAAGGACAAGAAGTTAATAAACAACGTGCAATACCCTCATGAACTAGGTATTATTATCTTATTGATAAATGTGAAATTGCACTAATCACTAGATACTAACACTCTATGTTGTTAATTGTGGTGTTATAGCGGTTAGCGGTCCTAGAAAAAATAGCAGTGAGAAATAGCGGCGCTAATCACCGCAATTTTGATTTGCAATAGCGGTGTGAAAACCACAATTAGGAGTCGGGCTTTCACTTGGCCTTTTAAAAGGTTTAGAGAAGTTGGTTAAGGGATTATGACCTAGGGAACTGATATTCATTTGCAATATTGGTGTGTAAACTCGCTACTCCTCTCTCATCTCTTTTATTCTAGTCTACTAATCTACATCTTCTCTTCATAACAACATTGTCTTCCACCATCTGTTGCTCGTCGTCTCTTCTATTCACGTGTTCTTATGTCATCTTCAAAATATATATTATGTTACGTATGCATTCATACATTTATATATAATTGTAACTGTTACATGAACTGCTATACCACCGCTTTACCGTCGCGATAACTGCTATATCAAATCACGGTCCTGACCGCTATTTTAGATTTTGACCGTTGTAACAGCATAGCTAACACAGTAACACTACATAAGAAACAATGACACTACTGAAAAGAAAATCAACTACATGATGGCATCACTATAAGGCGATTTAAGAACACTTTGAAGAACAAGCAATGCATCCATTTCACTAATCCAACCCAATCCTATCGTTTAGCATCTTGTGCTACACCAAAAGGAGAAACCGACAAAAGTTTAACAAGTCAGACGGTTCCAAGACCAAGGCTACTAGTAGTGTGGCACAAAATTGAAGATAAAGTTAAAAAAGGACTATGAGATCAGAGGTCATGTATGCTTACATCTCACCCCCTACCCTACTATCGAGTGGGATTTCTTGGGCTAGTTTGGTTTGGTTTGGTTTGGTTTGGTTTGGTTTGGTTTGGTTTGGTTTGGTTTGGTTTGGTTTAAGTAAGAGAATGGTTTCAGAATGCTTGTTACTTTTCAAATCTCATCCCATGCTGGAGTAGAAAAATTGGAATTTGCTGCAACGCGTTCTGAGTCAAATGCAACAATAAAGTTTTCATCTTATATGACTAAATAAACCAAATCCATGATGAGAGGAGTTCCTAATTGATTTATTCAAATAATTTGAGGACACAAGGATGTTGCAGATACAAGTAGTCGAAACAGGAGGATACCGTGGATGGGTACCAACACATTGAATTTGGAAGTGCCAAGGCTTCCTCAGTCTTCTTGGGGTCAAAACCAACTAAATCTACACCCATTCCTCAATCTTCTTGGGTTCAAGGAAGAAATTAAACTGAATATAGTTTTACCCCTACTACATTGGGGTCAAAACAAATTATGTTGTTTCCATGGTGTTACTAGGAGCCATGGTACTTCTTATACGTCCATTTTGAATCTCCACCCATTACTAGTTCAAATTCCAATCTCAAACCACTCTTGTTATCCACTTCCAAAATCGCCCCTATCCTTAACCCCACCCTTGTGAGAAGATTAATTCGAGCACTGTATAGCAATAGAAGGAAACAAGGGCATGCTAATACCATGATGACAAGTATACCCTTGGACACAAATGCTCAAAACACCAATTTTTCATGTTTTGCTCACATGAAGAGGAGGATTAAATTAAGAAGAGGAATGTCAACCCATAAAGGAAGAAAAGCAAGAGATTCAAGTGACCAAGGAGATTTCTATTAGTACAAACAATGATAAAGGAACAAGCCTTGTTATTTTTTAAGCTTTGCCCCCAGGGAGTGTTGTTGGTTTTACGACACTTGTTGACTCCAATGCAACCCACAGTTTTACTAATCGCAACACGGTGGCCAAATTGTGTTGTCAAGTAGAGAATGTGAAATTGATTATTCTTATAACCATTGCTAATGGAAGCAACTAAAAAACAATCAACAATGCCACGCATTATGTCAGAGAAATGGCAAAACTAAATTCACATTAGCTCTAAGGATGTTGTCACTAGGAAAGTCTGATTTGGTTCTTAGGTTACAATGGTTGGAAACACAGGGCAGTTCGTTTCGATTTAAAAACCAAAGAGATGACCTTTATTGGGGAACAAGGGCAGTTAAACTCCAAGTCATTTCAAGAGACAGAGAACACAACCAAGTGCATGCAAAAATTAACTGGCAACTCCCCCCCCCCCCAATGTGGTTAACGATTAAGAATTACAAACTTCATATACAGTTAAGGCAGTATTTGCCGGGGGACACATGTGAATTAGGCAATACAATGTTTCAACTCTTATGTGAATTGCTTCATAAGTCAAAATGAAAAGAAAAGGAAATTGTTTTCTGAAACAATTCTGTCAAATAAAATCTGCAAAAAAGTGAAAATCAAAATGATGAAAGTGAAAGAGGAAAAAAGGACATGGGCATTGACCCATGAAAGAAAAAAATGAGAAAATCCAATCCAACCCATTTGACCCTCTGTAGAGAAAGATACCCATTTGGCCCTCCCATTTACCCATTACCCATTTTGACATGTTAATTGTTATCTTATCCGACCCAACCAAGCTATAGGAACCGGATACTGGTCCGTAGCCACTGCTGCCCAGATCATTTGTAGCCGACTCATACACAACCACTGAATAGGGAAACTAATGATCAGAATATATTAAAGACATGGTGATCTTAGGGCTGATCAATGATCAGACCATGTACGTAACATACAGGTACAAACCAAATTAGCCAGAGTGGCCTAACCAATGGCGGCTAAATCCACAAACAGTAGTGGACTTGGATGGGCATCTCAAAGAAGACATGTAATATAAAAACAATGATAACATGATTTAAAAACTACTAATTAAACAAGCAAAAGGCAAGGTATTATGAAGACAAAAGGATTCTAGGAGAAGTACATAGTATAGCAGGGTTTCATAGACAAGTGATTAGTACGATCACACCTTCTTTCACACAAATGCATGTTTCAATGTACCTTAAACTTTAACCCATGCTTTCCTGTACTGCTGGGATCTCCATAACATATATCAACAAGACTTGAAACTTCATACTCCCCAGGAGCAACCTCAGCATCCAATAGAGAAGATTCTCTGATTATGGATTTCTTTGTACGATTGGAACTGGTTTCAAGCCCTCTATCAGTATCATTCAACACATATAATTTGCATAGTTTTTCCCATTCCTTCAATAATTCCAGGAAATCTTCAGCAGTTATATGTCGAACCTATAAAAGACAAATGATAATAGTGAAGCGATATATAGTGGATAATACTTCTATGATACATTGATACACCACTCAAAGCACTCACTTGTGTTTCTGGATGATTTTGTTTGAAGCTGTCACATGCGGACTTGTGATAATCAATTGCCCATCTCTTAAGAGAGAAAAAGAAAAATCAATACATTGTAAAAATATAACAGCTTCAAACAAGAGTTGAGGAATATAATAGTTACCGTTACAAGTTTAACACCAGAAATTTTGGCACCAAGACACAGTCCAGTTGACATTCCACCACAACCAGCATAGAGATCTAATAATGCCAGTTCAGCTTTGTACGGTTCACAACTACTTAACTCTAATGGAGTTGTAGTTATGGTCACATTGTTAGCATCAAGGCTACTTGGCAAGGTCAAATCACATCTTGCTACCAAACTGTTTGTAGCTGCAGAGTTTCAATAAGACAGCAATATAACAGTTACATGTAATAAATTAAAGACCATAATTTTAAAGCTAAAATTAACGATCTTTGTGGAGGGTATATTATATTATAGAAGGTGACTAATGATATTTCCCAACATCTAGGTCTCTACATGCATAACAATTTTTAATGACATAATGGAGTTAAGACAAACAAATCGAATACTATGTCAGCGCAAAACAGCCATTACCGGGTTAAGGTCCCACTCGCCAAGGATGCTGATGGATGGACTGGGTACAGACTACATCTTTGGCACAAATTGCATGAAGTGTCTGCCCACAGATTCCAACCTGCAACCTAGCTGTTGACATATCTCAATCCGAGCCCTTAATCAAGTGCCAGGCATTATCCCCTTCTAACAGCTTTGAGTGTCAAGAACTAGTTATCCACATAACTTTAATGACCTCTCAGACTTGGGCAGATGAAAATTTTGAATGAAACCTACTCTTATAAAGTATTAGACAGATGTTCTTGTAACATTTGAAGATTTGTAGAAGCCAACAGGCCAGCAAGTCAACAGATGTTCTTGTAACATGGGAGTTGCACGAAAAGCAATATAATTTTGTATCACCATCTCAATTTCCTGCCATAAGGTACAACCTACACTCTATTTTTACTTGATTTCATCTTTGCCAGTTCAATGAGTTCAGAACTTCCACAAAAGGTGAATGGTGTCATCTATCTGCAAATCAGGTCAGAATTTATCATGAGGCTTATGCTTTTTTCTCCGAACTCGTGACTAATACCTGCTTTAGACCTCGTGATAATTTCAGCACATAATGAAGTACTCAATTCATCTCATCACTAAAAGCACCAGAATTATGGAGTACATGTCCATAGTGGTCATGTTTGCTTGATGGACGAAATGCCCAGAGCAGAGTATACTCCCGTTTAAGATAATAATGTCCTCCATGACCCGGTCCAGACTAGACTGTTGGTCAGGTGTTATAAATAGAACCCCACATGAGGGACTAATGGAAGTGAAGGGGGAGGTGGATTAGGTTCTCTAGCCCGGATGTTTGAACCAAGTCTTTTGGACACAACAATCATTGCTTATTTTTCAATCTAGACTAGAGTAATAACCCTGATGAAGGAGCAATCATGGGATATTAGAAGTACAGGCAGAATGGGGGTGCTAAGTGTGATCTACAATGGCTCTGACAATCCCGTACATGAAGGGCGAAACAAAGACCTTATTATATTTCAAAATGAGATTTAGTCCCTAAAAAAAATGTGGAAGTAGATTGTTTTTTCTTGAACACCAGACAGATAAGATTCAGAACAGGACTCATGGACTCGTTTGCTTGGTGTTCTAAATTGTAAGTGCTTTTTATCTTGAATTTTTTTATTCCAGATCTAATATGGACACTATAAAGTGCATATGTTTATATATACACACACATACGTATATAGGAAATTGATGTTCATAGCAGAATATCATCTTCTAGAACAACCATAAATGAAATCAATCTCACTATAAAGAAAAATGAACTTCGATATTTGTCATATTAATCCGATACTAAAAAAAACTTTTGGGGTAAAATCCAGTAAAAGAGCAAAGAACAGCCGACAAAGAGGATAGTGCATCTTTCTAAAAAAAATAGCAGATGCCAATATAACCATCTAAGTCCAATTACGTCCAAGTTGCATATATTTTATTTATTGATTGCCTTCATATGTATTCAACAGTAAATTATCTTTCTTGTCGTCTTATAGAAATTTTATTTAGTACATATCCCGGCAGGTGATATGGGAACAGATGACTTATATCTGGAAGAGGAATTTTTCTGAATGGCCATGAAAAGTTAGTGCTTGACATCATATTTAGCAATATGTCGCCTGTCATCGGCAGTTCTTCTCACTTATTTGTTGCCTTCAATAAGATGTTTGCTTTGAATGTTCTTTCTGATGCTACAAATATTTAACATGGCAAACAAATCGGATGGCAAGCACATCCTCTTACCAGTCGCCAAGGAGCGGAATGTTGAATATTTCACAGAATATTCCATATCACAATAATATTCAGATGGCTGAATAGCTGATTGCAAACCTAGCTGCAATGGTTGCAAGAATTTTAAAATAACATAAAAAATCAACTAAATGAAATGCAATATTTGACCATCCATGAAAGCAAAAAATATAAGAACTTAAAATGCTACAGAACTTCAAACTATTGAAGAGGATTAAATTGGACATACGAATGAGAAAATGAAAACTAAGTTTGCAACATACCGCGGGAGCCTTTTCTGTTATTTTCACTTTAGAAAGTATACAATCTAATAAGTTGTCGTTCATTAATGTGGAGGAGAATAAGCGCTTCTTCTCATGAAAAGCAGCAGCTTGTTTCATGACCTGAGTAATAAAAAGTTGGAAGTTAAAAAAACGACAAAAAAGGCTGAAGATCAGGCAAAATGGCAGAACAGAAAGTCAACTTCTAACAAACGTACAAACAGAAAAAGGATGTGAAAGATGACATTAAAATTAACATTGCGGTGCAGCAACCGACCGTGTCCTCAGCTCTGAAAAACCACTGTACTCTAAAGTAATTCTCATCATCGGATGTTTTGAAAAATTCTACGATCCTGCCAACATGTTCTCTCTTTCCTTCACCCTGAAACAAATTGCTCAAATATGATCTTTGTTACCCATATTAGCTCAGTTGCATTGAAGCAGAAAAGTAACAAGGATACCACAGAATGATCTATAAGATGCATCAGCAGCAAATACTGGCTGGGAGATGGATATTATGCTATATACCACCAACTAACCAAAATGGCTTTTTGCTAATTGAAAAGCCTACATGGGGTTCTATCCTTTTCTTCACTTTCCCTTTTTATTGGATCAGCAGGGTCACGAGTATGTTAACTATGATAACAAATTGTTTATTGATATAACTTAAGGATCATGTAACAACTTAGTAAGTGTAAAACTACTGAAATACATTTATTGGAGGTAAACAAAAATGTCAAGTTAGTTTAGCATGACCAACCACAAACTGGGTATAACCGTATAACTATCATCAACTATATTAGAAGTGCATAATGATTAACTCTACATGAATAAGAAGCTGTGCACGAGCTACAAAATGGGATTTCAATTAAAAAAAATGGAATAAAGCTATATAAACAAAAAAAACAAGTTTGCAGCTCCTGCTCCATATCAAGGATATTGACACTAGCATCAATATAGTCAAAACCTTTAGACTTGTTATCCAGGAATGTGTTCACAAATACCTCTATTCTTTGAGGCAGATTCTGATGTGTATGTTCGGTGTTCATCCTTGTCCTTGTAGCTAAATATAATATTTTATACGAAATATGCATTTACGATAAATGTTCACTGTTTATACATATGGTAACGTAAACTCCAGTTGTATTGTATTCAATGAATAGATCCTTGATTCCTAGTTCTGTATAGATATAGTTTTCAGATAAAATTTTCCTCCTTTTGTTATGCAACATATTTATAGTTCAACGCTAATGATATTTCTTAAGCTTAAAATGTTTTCCATAACTGCACTATTCAGAACTCATCATTTGATGCTTCAAAACTCATCAAAGAGAATTTCCTCATTTCAGAATTACAAATTAAATGCAACTATCTTATTTTGGCATCAAGAAACACTAGTCTCAAATGAAGCATGTGAGAATTGGAGCTAACCCCCCTCCCCCTCCACCAAAGGATACATAAAGAAAACAAAGGAAAGTTCAACCACAATTAACAACCTAGCCTAAATCATGTGAAGGAATTATCATAGGAATGAGTAAAACCATATATGTGCAATGCTATGTCCATTGACTTTTGAAGTGGCAGCAGTGTTCAAGCAACTAAGGGGTCTTTGTAAAACTTGGACGTTCTAATCGAATTGTAAGAGGATGCCTAAGCAGTCTAAATCTACTATTAGATTTTTTATTTGTTACAAAAATGCACCTTAGTTCGAATGTATAGAAATATGTGGACGTACTAATATGAGTTGATGATATATTATGAATCCCGGTCTAAACACGATAAAGAAAACCAGTATCACATAGAGAACAATTGCTTAACATAAACAAAAATACATGCTCAAGGAAAAAAATGTTGTGACTGCTTAATGATCACTTAACCTGGATTCATTTGGCTGGCCAATTAATAAGATATAATAAAGGAAATCAGAGAAAAATGTTTGTGAGAACGCCTAGGGGACACCAAAACCAATATTTAGAAGAGATCACTGTGATTTTCAGTTGTTATTTCCTTGTTCACTCTTGCATGTCTTATATGGTATTTTGACAACTGATTCCTTGTAAGTATTTTCTACTTACAGAAACCATGTCTTGTTAAAAGATTTAGTTAATTTGAGTATGCTACTGTAAATTTAAGATACAACAAAACAACAAAAAATTGGTTGTGGACCTGACAAGTATTTGGCAACTCAAATCCTCACATAGACTCTTCTATGTGTGCCTGATACTTCGATCAGTTCAGCAACCTCTTGTGCACATCATTAATAGTAAGTAGCCAACCATTTATTTACTTGTTATTTTCACCATGTAACTGTCAAAAGAAAAAGCTTATAAGTGGACTAACCTGCAAAGGAAACACCTTTAAGCCCATCAACTGACATGACCATATCAAGTGTATGATATGGCCATCTATTCACAGGCATATGGAAGGGTGCTCAGAAATAACTGTATGTTTGTGGAGGATGGTATTTTTCAGTATTTCTAAAAAAAATATGGTTTATGTGGCAGGCAAACCACTGCTTCTGAATAATAATCTTCGAGTATGACCATAAATAGGAATTAAAATTAAATAACTATAAACAAATGTCAGATTACTCATATTAAAATCCCAGTAGTAGCAGGAGAGATGTTTTAAGAAAGGATTAAGTTGACAAAAGCTGAAGTCCAAATTTTTGATCTCACATAGAAGTTGATATTTACCTACTAAAAGAAGTTAGTAATGACGTGGATTACCTTTATGCGTGCACAATCTCCAAGACGGTAAATGCATCCATCAACATTAGCTTGAAGGTAATGACACATGACATTCAAATGCAGTTCGTCCTCTTCACCAGCACTGCATCATTTATCATCCCAATGTGGAAAAAACCAAAATGGAATCTCATAAAGTACAACTAGAAAGAAGGCATTAAAGTGTAACTAAGAAAGATACAACACAGAATCCACTCACTTTAGTATCCAGCTCTGTCCCTTCCGTCTTTGACCCTGAGTAATTAAGAATTCTCATGAACTCAAAATTGCAAGAGAATAAAGAGGAAAATAAATAATTAAAGAACTAAGGGATCTGGGGATCCCCCCCCCCCCCCCCCCCGGGAAAAAAAATCTAACAGCAAGTGTACAGTGTCGAATCAAATAATACATATGAAAGTACGAGTATCAAACCAAAAGAATTAGAGACTAGTATCACCATGACTACTATTGATTAAGATGAATTGGTTGGTTAATAATTATCTAATTAAACTACTGGCAATCTTGCGCAATTTTAGGAAATAAAAAGTTGGAAATCTTATATGGAGAAAAACAGTTGGGAGTTGGAATCCTAATGGTTTTCACATAACACTCCAGATGCAAATAATTATCAGGTAATCCAATTAACTGAAATATTGAAGACACAAAAACGGAATTACCTAATACTCTCTCTCACAAGTTATAAAAGGTTTATCCCAAGAAACCGCAGGTTTTATCTCTCGAGCTCTTCACACAGTTTCTGAAATTCATTTAGGCCAAGATTGTATAAAAGCACCAAGTTTTAATTGGTATATCTCCATCCAAGTTCTCACCTTAGGTACATGAATCATGAATCTAAATATAAATTACTTTTCTCAAAGCTAATTTATAACAATTAAACCAAGCGACAGTTGATCAGGCTAACAAAGGCATTATGAACAAATCCAAATGCTTCATTAATTGGAAAAATCCAATTAAAATCCCAACGTTACGTGTATATGCTTACAAACCAAAATCATTCAACCCCCAAAATTTAAGGATTAGTTCCCGTTGGGGTGACAGAAAACGAAGCAAAAAGGGAAGAATTCATAGATATAGACATGATTTCTCAATCAAAGATCTAAAACAATGTTAAAACTCCCTTCTCTGATGAATATGATGAATCTCTATGCACAAGTAACGAATATGGCGTTCAACTTTCAATCCAACTGTGTTCCCATCCTTCAACTGCTCCGACAATATGCCAAGATACGCCCAAAAATGGCCCAAAAAGTCAACTGGTGTTTAAAAAAGTAACCTCAACCCTAGATGGAACAAGTTTAATCGACTCACAGGTCTTCCCGCAACTTTCCGCTCGCCCGCACTCAAAAATAGCCACGGTGATTATGAAACTCGCGGCTCAACCTGTGTGAGGCACTGTTTTGCCTTTATTCAGATCTGTTTCAGCTCCAAGTTTCCTTTGAAAAACGCCATTGACCTCCTCTTCGAATCCCATTTCCGATGTCACTCGTATTCTTCAAAATTAAGCTCATAATCACGGAAGACAGCATATGTACTTAACTTTCAATAAACTGTTAGAATAATGCTAAATTTACTTGGAAACAGCAAAAAACTGCCAAGTATATAACAATAATGTCAAAAACAACATTATCAGCAGATAAACTTGTCCTGGATGTCTGTCTAAGTTTACCAATGACATCTCTTTAGGGCATGTTCTCGGCTGAAGAGCCAAATTTCAAGATGACATCAATTATTTAAGTTAGAGTGCAACTTGTTGGCTAAGCTGATGAGAGAATAACCAAAATCTGAGAGATTGGATTGTTTCTTTTCTTTTTAGGTGAAAAATTCATTGATTGATTGATGAAGATGGTTGAGCATTGAATCTGCTATTGCGGTTACATGAATGCCCTAGGTTCTTGATCTTGCCCATATTGAAATGAGAATGAAATCCAGAATTTGAAACGAAATCATGATTCAATGATAAGACTGTCTTCCCATAACACTAGTTGACAAAAAATATTTTAAGGGCATATACAAGACAGTTCAATGTGCAAACAAGCCAAACTATTTTTCAAGGCCTATAAAGTATGAAATGAGCTCCAGCAATGGATTAATGGACCACATTGAGCATTTCGGCTTTCACAAGCATAGTGAGTTTGACATACTAGGACAAACGTGAATCATAAAGAATTTCCTCTCCCTCGCAAAAACAAAGAAAGGTGTTTAGGCCTTATAAAGGAGAATTAAAAGTTTCACATCAAATTGGTGATGCCTACAACAGATACATTCCCTCCCTCCCAATAATATGTTAGTGATTCTAGTGCCATCAATCAATTTTGGTTAATTGTGATTTGCCTAGGGATCAATTAGGTGACAAGGCAAACACAAAGTGAGTTAGGAGGTGTGGAGTGCACACTCACAAATGGTGCCTCTATCACCTTAAGAAACCAAAGGGGGTGGGGGGTTCAAGGGGTTGCTCCCCCTTGCGGGGCCCTAGGGGGAACCCCCCAGGCAGTGGTACCATCCCCTGAACTAGTTCTGAAACTTAGTAAAATTTGACTATAAATCAGAAGCCTTTGGACTCAGAGCTTCTTAGCCTTCTGTTCAGCGCTCTGAACTCGGTGCTTCTGTTCATAACCTCTCAGTCCGTTCTAACTGTTCAATCTTATCCGTAAGCGGTTGTAACTGATGTGCAGTCACATGTTAACTGCCTAACGATCGTAACCTTCGATCTCTCATATAAATATGTAAAATGTGCAATCTGGGTATATGTAAGGACTCGATTTCAGCCTTTAGAATTAGTGTTATCATTTGGATCATCCCAATACTCAATTCATGATACCAAGACTAATAGGGACGAATTAGTGTATTTGGAAAGCGAACAAACGCGATCCAAATGATGATTTATCCAGAGTGTATATGATCAGCAGTCCTCGATTTCTAACATAATATGTTTTATAAGCTACACAATTGAATCTGGATGTTTCCTCTCCATCATAAACATTTCGTTGGTAATTGTATTTGGCATAACCACATCCAGGCCAGCATATAAATTCATGATGGAAATCTAAAAGATTACAACATAATCCCTGCCATCAAGTTTTCAGTGTATTATAACAATACTAAGGATGGAGTTCAACTAAATCATCTTGAGAACTACCATGCCTTCTAGAAACAGAAATGCTATAGAGTAATATCCATCCAAGTTTGATCATCTCCTAGAATATGACATAGTGCACGATGTGATTGTTCGATAAGGACTACAAGGTTACGATTTCAATACATGATAGATGTAATTTGACTCCATACTTTTACAGTAAAAGACAGAAGTGACTGGGCTAAAGAATGAATGACTGAAACATCAAACTCCAATGTGCTCCTGGAAACTAGAATGCAGCAAGTTACAGCATCACACGGTGCCACCAAAAGGCATATTCTATTTACCTTGAGCTGCACTTTAAAACAGTTGCACATCAGGAAACAATCTTCTTCACAATTGGGCCATAAAATTCTACTATAGAGTATCAGCAATCATCAAGTCATAAGATTCTTGAGAAGTTTTACATCAGATGCCGCCTGGCACAAAATCGGGCATGATCCTAGCACTTTTGACCACTTAATTCTTCAAACTATTGGATAGAGAGCATCGGAATAACTTAATAGCCAGCGCACAACATACTTGCTATGTTTTTGTAGAAAAAAATGAATAAATAAGTAAGTAAATCAAGGATTGTCTAAGTGATGGCCAAGCATATTCTCAAACAAATGTACATGTTATTTAAATCAGGTCAATTTAGGTGCATCATAACCCCAAAAGAAACAAATATAGCTTGCAAAAAGCCCAATAAAACATGCCAGAAACATATGCATAAATCAAGAAAATAAATAAACGCACCACCATCATTAGGTTCCATAAACCATACCTTCAATTCGTAGCGCCAATGCCACCTTTCTTGAGCTTCATCCTCAGGAACTGGCTCCCCAACAAAGAAGGATGCTCTTTTTAGCTTTCTCTGTTTCTTAGTAGAGGACTGTTGCTTAGTAGAGGACACACTAGTCTTGCACCTTACTGGTGGTGCCTTGTTGTACCCTGAAACATGCAACTCGGTTAATGTATACCTCTTTTCAGTTGCTTCATTCCCATGCAGCAAATTGCATTTTGGTATATCCTAAGAACTTCCCGCTCAACTTACCAAAATCAATGTTGCCCACTGATGCCGCCTTTTTATCATGTGTCCTAATTGAAGTAGATTTGACTTCACTGTCTTCCTTCTTGCGTACGTGAAACTCTAATCCACACGGTCTTGCGGTGTCTCCATTTGGAATGAAGTCGTCTTTTACAGTCTCCGCAGAAGATAGAGCAGGGACTGCTAATTTTTCACAATTGCCATTACCATGTTGAACACGAGCAGAAGACTTCTTTGTGCACTTCTCAGTCACCACATTAGAATTTAACTCCTCCACACACGACTTAATCCTCTTCAATTTTGGTCCATCCGTAGTCCTTTCTCCCTTCACCCTGGTGTGAAGACCTTCCCATTCGATCTGAGGACATGAAGGTATTGGGGACAACCTCGGTGATCTTCTTAAGCATTTTTGCGGAAGCCTTTTCAATTTGTTACTACCGGCATTCTCCGCATGTGACGTCACGGGAGATAATCTCGGCGACCTTCGTAGGCGCCTTCTCGGAAGAGCTTTACTTTTTGGACTTCGCTGACGATCCAATGTACCAACAATTAACGCAGTTGAAGAAGATAATCGCGATGATCTCCCAGAAGAACTTCCTTCTACTCTTTCTCCAAGGACACTTTTATTTTTAGACGCGCCTTTTGTGGTAATAATAGATTCCCCCATCGTGAACCTAGGAGATCTACGCACCGATTTTCCATGCGCCAGACTGGGGTCGTAAACCTTCAACGGCACCGGTGATTCATCGCTGTTGTAGTAAAAATCACTGCTAAGTGAGTGCAGTGTCAGAGCCAACGCGTCTGATCCGGTGGTCGAAAATTTGCCCCATTTTGCGACATTTATATCCGAATTCATCCTCGTAGATCCTCTCACGACCATCTTCGAAGCCGAATTCGTCCTGGAGACCTCATCACACGGTTCAGATTTCTTTCCAGTGAACATTTAGTTGAGCATTTCTCCGATTCAGCACCACAGTTGATTTCCACCGAAGTTCAGACAATGTCGGGGATTCCCGGTGACAATTCCCCGACGTCGAAGGTGGAGTCAATCAGCACAGCACATTCTGATAAACGATTATCACTACTAGCAATGCGATCAGCTTGAATTTCGATCGGCAATCGTCTGAAGATTCTTCCGACTAGGGTTTCTGCATTGAATTGTGGGCTGGGGAGAATTTAAGTGGGACTTCGCTGGTACATTTGGGCTCGGAGGGGTTGGCTGCAGGGAATCTATTTATTTTTTAACTATTTATATGATTCAAAAATAGCCGTTAACCAGTCAAATTAATTAAAATAAAAGCATTCATTTTTTTATTTTTTTATTTTTTTATGTAACCTCGTTTTTAATTCATCGAATTAAAAATTCATATAAAAATCTATAATGATAAGGTCTAACAGAACTTTATGTGTGGATGTTATGTATTTTTAAACATCAATAACTATTATATATTTATAAATAAATATCAAAATTTTAATTTAGAATACTAGTAATTTGTTACTTCACATCGACTTCAAGGTAAGAACATAGTTCCAAATAGGGTTGTGCAAAATCCGACCGTACCCGAATTACCCGATCAAAGAAAACCGACCCGAACATAACCGAAGTCCGAATCAAAAGACTACATCGGGTATGGCGGATCGGGTAGAATCTCAAGATCCTCCCCCCGAACCCGCCTAAAACCCGAAGAACACAAAAGGGCTTATTTTGAAATTTTCCACTCTAAGGATTTTCAACTCTGCCTTGCGAGTTGCGCTCTTGCCTCTCTCAGTCTCTACCTCTCTCGATCTCGACTCTCTCCATCTCCGGTCTCTCGACTCTCTGCCTAAAGCCCTGACTGACTTAGCCCTTGGTGCCTCTCTCGGTCATCGGAAACTGAAATTGACAAGCTGCAAGTCTGCAACTGCCAAGCAGAAACAACAAGCAGGTAAGCAACTAAAGCAAGCATTTAGCATTGTTGTGTAAGGCTGTAAGCACTAAGCAAACTAATGGTCTATCATTGTTGTGTAAGACTGTAAGCAAGCAGGTACTGGTTCGATTGTTAGCACAAAACCGAACCCGAACTGCCCCCGAACCCGAATACCATAATTCGGGGTACAATATTTTAATCAGATTCCCAATCAGGTTTCCTCTTTCACGGTCCGATCCGACCCGTGCTTACCCCTAGATCCAAATAATTTGTTACGGCCTCGTTATGGCGCGTTATGCCTTCAAGGCTTGGGACTCGCCACTACGTAACCCACATGGCTCCATTCTAAGGTTTTTGCTTGCATTATGGCACATTATGATACGTTACGACACGTTATTTTGTAAAGTGTGAGCTATTGTTAAGATATAACTTGTGGGATAAATGATAATTATGTAGAGACTTAAGACTTAAATAAACAAAAGAAACTTAAAAATTAAAACCCTTAAATAAATAAATACTTACTCACGTTCTCGTACATGAAATGTCGAACATGAATTCTTTGAAAATTGAAGAAAGTAGTTAGCAGATATTCAATCCCGATTTTGCACTCTTAATATCATTTTTTATAAGCTCTATATAATTGGTATCAATGGTTTTTCTTATTTTTTTAGTTTTATTACTTTGTATGAATTTCATTTGTTCTACAGTGTTATTGAAAAGTGCATACTAGTCTTAAGTTTGACTCACACTCACACCCAAAATAAGTGATTAGCTCATAATAGACATAGGAAACATAATATAAGACAAGAAATAAAATTGAAACGTACTTTCATTAAAATAGAACAAAAGTCTGCTTTCCCACAATGGTGAAACTGTGGGTAGCAGATTACAATTAAGAAAAAAAATCACATGCTAAAACTTAACTTAAGACAAGAAGAAGAAGAAAGATTTCGGTTGAGTTGTGCTTCAAAGGGATGATCTTCAAAATGATAGTAAATGCTTCAATTTATAGGATAAAGGGTGAGATGGACATCCCTTTTATCCAAATGAAAAAAATATCATTTCTACTTTAGGGCGAAGACTTCATTCCACTTTTCTATCTTCTAGACTTGTTACTTTTTTGAAAGGATGCAAAATATATAGATGGTATTTCCCTTGATTTAAGAGAAAAAGTACTTTAAGTCATTTTTAAACAAAACGAACCATTCATTTAGATTTTGTAAAATCTCCGGAATGGACTGCAGATTTAAATATTTTAAATACCCAAAAAATAGGGTATTTAACCTTATCCAGATCTGTCTTGAAGAAATTATCACAGTGGACACGGTCCAGCAGTGACAGTTTTTCAGAATAAAATCAAATAGTTGACCTTTCATCACCTTTTAAGAACATTTTAGACCAAAAATATAAGATAGAGACAAAAAATGAGTATATAAAAATAGGAGTATTGAACAACAAATAACTCTCAAAATTGAGAGTTATAAAGAACCAAGCAATCTATACTTCCATAGTATATCATAAATGTAATAACATCAAATACATCTCATAAATACAATAAATCATCAAAACCACACTCATCATGATTTATTTATTAAAACATCCAGACCATATAAGTAGTTCTGAGTAATCTATAAAATCAAATATGCAAAAATGCAATATCCTCAAGATATCATTCTCATTTGACAAATCTCAAAGAAAACACTTTAAGACTCCAAAATAGACATTTTTGGCATGTATAAAGTTTTTCATAAAAACTTGAACTCATCTTGCTAGGTTAAGTTAAGTTAAACCTAATTTCAAAACTCATCTCTAGTTTCCCAAGGATGTAGATTTGAGAACCATAAGCAAGAACTTTTAGAAATCTTCTCAAAGCAACAACCCAAGTTTAGAAAGACACCAAATGCAACCACAATATCAGATCCACAACAAACCCAAGCTAAATCTTAAAATACCAAAAAATGCTTACTTCTTCCAAATCTTGAGATGAACAACCATGATTCTTCGATTTTTAAGATTTTCCTTCCATTTCCTCCAAAAACTTCTCAAACTCGACCGCATAAGTGCCAAAGTCGACTCACAGGATAGAAAAGTGGAAGAGAGGAGAATAATGGCCAAACCCTAGCCAAAAATGGATATTAAATCGTACAAGCAAATGTCGCGACCTAGGTCACATGACTAGTCGCTCGCGTCCCACCAGTGGGTTACGCGACTTATCCCGCAACCCAAGCCGCATGGAAGGTTGCGGGAACCTTTTTTCAACCGAAACCTTTTATTTTATTGCCTTATTCGACCCTCACACTTTCCAATAAGATAATTATGTAAAACCTTAATGATCCATCAACTCAAATGTCATTCTATAAGGTAATTAGTCACAAGTGCAAGCTCTGAAATCATGGGTGTTACGCTAAGAGACCAAATATGTTCCATCAAGTCGGAACGAAGTTGATGGTGAAGTCCGCTTGATTGTATTTCAGAATTTCTTTGAAGGTAATATTGGAACTCGTTCGTGGAACCTTGAAATATTTATGCATCATTATGTATATACAATAAAAATTTGTACAATAAAAAACAAAAGTTAGGTTATCAAGAAATTGTAAAAATTGTATAAAAGTATGTAACAATAAAAATTGAAAAAAAGTTAATTTAAAAGTATGCACAACAAAAAAATAAAAATTGGATCATCAAGAAATCTGTAAAAATTGTATAAAAATATGTACAAAAAATTGAGACATAATTTAAATATATTAAATCTTTGACCTTTCATCACCTTTTAATGACATAATATGATATTTACACTTTATTTGTTAAAAGGTGAATTACAATGTTGGTCCTTTTCGTTTGCTTAAAACTTGGATTTGTTCACTAAAACGAGTTGTAATTATCTACATCGAAACTCCCTAATTTTCTACTTTTCTTGCATCAACGGTTGCTCGAGTTGACATCGTTAACGGAGTTCCGTTAAATAAAGGCATGTACCTCTCACATGAGGGCAAATCCGTCTTTTACCCACCTTCCATTTTTACATTCTCTCTCTCTCTGGTCTTCATCGCCCCTCACCTAGGTGAACATACAAAACCCGGTTGTTCTGATTCACCCGTTTATTCCATTCCTAAAACAAAGACATAATAACATTCTATAACAAAGAAAAAGAAATCGATATACAAACGTCAATGTAGAAGCAAAAATGTAGAAGAACTTGATATATAAACATCGATGTAGAGGCAAAAATGTAGACGAAATTGATATACAAACTTCAACTAATCAACAAACAGAAGCTGTTATAGAAGCAAAATAAATCAACAATGAAGCTTGGAAGTTGGAACATCCATGGAAGCAACAAAATTAACAAACAGAAGCTGCCATAGAAGCAAATATATTAACAAACAAAAGCTGCCATAGAAGTAAAAATCAGCACATGAACATCAATGTAGAAAAAGGAACCGATATACAAACATCAATGTAGCAAAAGTCAAAGATATAAGTTGCCATTGGAGCAAGAAACTGATATCGTACACCCCAAAGAAGAAGAAATCGATCTAGAAAAAGAGAGAGAAAGATAACATATAGAAGAGGGAGGAAATCGATACCCTTCTGGCTCGATGGTCGCTGGAAAGAAGGTCGAAATCAATGGTGCAGGGGTGTTATACAATGGCTAGGTTTCGAATCTGGAAGGAGGCGTGTTTTATGACTCCAACTAGTTTATTAAAAATCAAGGGTAGGACGTCTTTTTTTGGCTGAATGGGAACACCACAGCATAACTGTGCGATTAAGTCATCTGTTGCGCGAATCAGCCGCAAGTAAACAACCCAAAAGAGTTGTCCGGATAAGCCAAATAGACCATTAAAGCCCTTTAAGCTCCAAGTAAACAGCCCTTCCTTTTAAATAAGCCATTCACAAGAGACACCTATTGTTCTAATGTCAAATATCTAAAGGTATTAGAAACTTACCGAGTTACTTACCTTATGGGTGGGTACGATAATGCCCGAGAATCTTACCGGCCAGTAAGAGGATGACAAAGACGAAAATCTTACCCAATTCTTGCGTGTTGTATTTTGGAGAGGTGACCTCTTGCCAAGGTAAGATGCAATTTCCAGTGATTGATCAAGAGTTATTCATCAGTGATTGTTGATCAAGGCGCCATATGACAGGTTCCTAGGGTCAGCGCCAGTGATTGATCAAGAGTTATTCATCAGTGTTTGTTGATGTTATGCCTATATGCCTCTTGGC